ACCATGAAATTCTCTCAAAATACAAAAGAAAAAAATATATTAGATTGATTTTACTGAAGAAAAAAAAAGTTACATTTCAGGTGTCCGATCACTTTTGACCGCGAAGACCATGAGTGTGACTCCCAAATGAGGAGCGCACAAGCAGGAACATTAGCTAAATGTTCTTAAAACAGAGTTTTGTTAACTGGGAAAGAATAAGTCATAATTTAAAGTTCACATTTGAATTTAAAGAATCACATTTGATGGTTTTTCATTGCAATAACTACATTTCTTCTTAGTTCTTAGTGTACATCAGGGTTTTATGTTACATTTTATGCTGTTAAAATAATGTTTATTGCATTATTTTAGTGTCGCTTGTTACCAGGATGCTGTTTTGTGTATGACATCATATTGCTTCTATATTTGCTTGTGTTGAAGTTTAATTCATCATGTATCTTTCTCTTTATCTCCTTACTATTAATGAGTTTGTCAGTATATTATAAAGGTAAAAAACACAATTCATTAATTTGATATCGATGAAATATGGTCAGTCTGTAAAACTTGAAGTGTTGCTACCATAACAGCTGCTGTTTTTACCTTAACTTTCATGGATTTTTTTCATTAAACTGACCCACTCCAACATAAACAACCCTCTCACATGCCTGCTTGTGTCTGAACATCACCAGTTGCTTTAGTCTGACAATCTGCTGGTTGAAGAAGTTCTTTTGAGGCGACTGCACTGCGGTAGAGAATCACTAAACCAGCAACACTTGTTGACTTGCTGTGAGAATTTCAGCTGAATCTCAGTGTGTGATCAGTCACATAACACATTACCCATGATCCTCTCTGTCTCTCAGCTCTGTTCCCATCAGCCTTCAGAGTGAAGCGAGGGACGCCAGCGCTGCTCAACCCCACGTTTCAGAAATCAGCGGAGGACGCCAGCCTTCTGTACGAGGTACGGCTCACGCTGGTGTGCAATATGCCGTGATATTTGCCCATAACAAATTCAGTGTATTTAATATGTCAACTCTTTCTCCAAGACAGCAGTGAGATTAAATGCAGATTCTAAGGCAACATCGAACAGCATTTGTAACCCATTTACTTTAGTCAAACTGATTAGATTTTTCAGTGAGACTTTTTACATTGGTTCTAAAAATGTTTAGAGATCAGGGTTATTATAGTTATAACTGAAACTAAAACCATTTAAAAAAAATTGTTGCTTGAAATAAAATAAACGTTAACTGTAATACAATAAAATATATATTTTTTTAAACTTTATATTTCACCTGGTTATAGTGAAGTAAAATTTAAAAATTTAAAAAAATAAAAACATACTCGTTACTTGAAATAAATTATTAAAAACTTATTTTATTTCAGCTAGTTTCCAAGTCAAAATGTCTTTTTCATTTAGTTTAACTGGTGTATTAAAATAAAAGTAGAAAAAATAAAACAAAATTGACAAAGTCACACAATGAAATTACTAAAAAGCTTAAATCAAATTAACATGAATGCAGAAAATATGAAAATACAATTAATTACAAATATTAACAAAAATTGTAATAGCATCTCAATGATACGAAAATATCACTGATGCCAAAGAGACATGTTTTCATTTTAATTTAGTGTAAGCTGATGTACTTGAATAACTAAAACTAAAATAAAAATTAATGAAAACTATATAGACAAAAAATAAAACAAAATAAAAATTAATGAAAACTGTATAGACAAAAAATAAAACAAAATATTAAAATATAACAAAAATGACAAAAACACAACAAATTTACAAAAATGGAAATTGTAAAAAAAATAAAATAAAAAAAAAAATCAAAATATTAATACAAACTTTAATAGTATCTCAGTGATACTACAAAAACACTGCCAGAAATATCAACAATGTCTCAAACTATATTCAAACTATCATGGCCAATATGTGCAATCAAAAGCTTTTTATTTGAGCTCAGAGAAGACTTAACACTTTCTGTCAAGCTCAGAATAGCTCTGTATTGACTGACTTGTGTCTGTTTTTATTTCTCACTAGGAATTTTAGCAGAAACTGAAGTTTGCCGAGCACTGAAACTTGTTTATCTGCCGTGTTTAATGTGCTTTTCAGCATCTCTGGTTGAATGAAAGAAGCGATCAATAGCTCAGCTAATACTAGCTCTTCATACACTTGAGTTTATTCGGTTATTGAGTTGTGCTGAGTTCTGCAATCTCCTGCGCTGTCAGATCCATCAGCTGAGAGATGCACCAGATCTCCGTTTAGATTCAATACAAAAAAACAAAAAAGACATTAATATTCCAGTAGTTTGGCGCTGAATGAGTCTGCATGATATCAGACACAAACTAAAGCCTGTCGATCGGCCTCATCACTCGCTAAACACAGATTGAACGAGACATCAGACTGAACTCTCATCAGAGATCAGATATGAGGCTCTGCAGAATCATTCAGAACAGCTGCTTTATTGAGCTCTCAGTCTGCTGAACGTCACTGAATCAATCTGAGCCAATCAAGAGTTCATTTGTATTCTGGTGCTTCTTTTAAAAGACGCTAAATATTCAGTAATATGATCAGTTTAACTGCACTGACACTATTAGATGAATTGAATTGAAACTAAACTGAGCTGGATAATGCCCAGCGAACAGGGATTGTTCTCAGAACTTTGGCTAATGTTCTGGCAAGTTTCCCTCAAAGTTATGAAGAAACGTTCTTCCTGTGGCATTAATAGAATGTTCGTCCAAAATATCTGGTTTTTAATAATGTTCTCAAAACATCAAAACAAAAACATTATTCATACATCATTCATGGAACATCTTTTCTGAAATGTTCAAAAGTTGCTACTTGATTCAGAACGTTCAGCGAACTTTCAATAGTAACATTCTCATAATGTTCAGAGAACGTTCCGTAACATTCATGTAAATGTTAGCAAAACTTTCTTTTTTGTTCGCTGGATTACAATCGCATTCTGTAGAGCTGCTTTATAGCGAAATCAAATTGATTTCATAATAGACCAAGTTATTAAACTGAACTGAATCAACATTGAACTGAATAATGATGCTATTTTCTTTGAGATGCTGTAATTGAATTGCAACGTTAATAGGCTACTGTTATTTTCCCAGGTAACAAAATTTGTTCTAAGAACGTTTTGCTGATGTTCCCATTTAGCTATAAAAGCATTCTTTTTTAAAGATCTCTGAACATTTTTTTGGTTATGTGAATGTTAAGGAAACATTCCATTTTATCATTTAGCTTTTGAATGTTCTCTGAATGTTCTGAAACAAGTAGAAACATTTAAAAAATGTTAGACAAATGGCCAACTGAAACGTTTCAGGAAAAAAAAAAAACATTCCATGAACAATGTATAAATATCATTTTTGTGGTATCGTTTTGAGAACATTTACTTGTGAAAATGTTATTTCTGAATGTTCTCTGAACGTTCCAAAAGTCCAGTTTATTTAAAAACGTTTTGAAAATGTTTTTTGGTTATTTGAATGTTGAATGAGAACGTTCCTCTTTTTCAATTTGGCAAACATTATGGGAATGTTACTTTTGAATGTTCTCTGAATGTTCCAAAATAAGCAGAAACGTTTCAAATATGAACATCCAACTAAAACATTTCAGAAAGAAAAAAAAACATTCCAAGAACAATGTATAAATAATGTTTTTGTGCTAATGTTTTGAGAATGATATTAAAGACCAGATAACTTTGAATGAACGTCCTGTTAACGTTACTGGAAGAATGTTTGTTCATAAATTTGATCTATAATAATCTGTATTGTATAAAGCATTATATAGGCTAAAGAAATGAGGTGAATCTCTTGTTATTTACAGTGGTTTTGTTTCACAGGTGTTGTGGTCGGGAGGGTACATGGATGCGGCGGACGGGACGCTCCACATATCCGATCAGGAGCTGGTGTCCATGAGGAAGCTAGAGCTTCTGGAGGTCCTGTGTGAGGACGTGCTTCCCAGAAGCCTCTCGGAGATCCAGCGGCTCAGTGCTCAGCTGGAGCTGCGGCATGGCTCGCTGCGGATGGACGACTTTGAGCGCACCGTCCTCACGATGGTGTTCACCGCTCAACAACTCCCACAAACCAGCCCCGGCCACCAGAGAGAGCTGTGGGCGAACGCACTCCTGCGACTCTATAAAGCCATTAAAGGAGACCTGCGGCCTGCAGATGACTGACAGACAGACACTGAGAGGAGCGGCTCACATCACATCAGTCCACTGCAGTGCTTCTCAACCCGGGGCTTGGGTTACAGGACTGTCCCGGCTAACAGGCAACATTCTGGCAAGCTTCTCTGAAAGTTATGAACAAACGTTCAGTCGCATGAATAGTAGCCTACATTCTTTAATAAGATTATCAAAACATTAGCACATTATATATTCGTTGTTCATGGACGTTTTTCTGAAACATTTTAGTTGAATAAATGATCAAATGGAACATTCCCTTAACATTCACTTAACCAAGAAAAAAATGTTTTTTAAACATTTAAAAAACCATGTTAGGAATGTTGAGAGAACATTAGAAAAACTTGAACATAATTTTGTTGGCCGGGTTCTGATCGCAGATATTAGAGGAAAAACAATGCTAAATGCAAATAATAAATGCATATAATCATATAGAGTCAAATTAGGTGATGTCAGTAATTGCAATGCAATTTATATTTATTTGCATGAATAGTAGCCTACATTCTTTAATAAGATTATCAAAACATTAGCACATTATATATTCGTTGTTCATGGACGTTTTTCTGAAACATTTTAGTTGAATAAATGATCAAATGGAACATTCCCTTAACATTCACTTAACCAAGAAAAAAAAATGTTTTTAAACATTAAAAAAAACATGTTAGGAATGTTGAGAGAACATTAGAAAAACTTGAACATAATTTTGTTGGCCGGGTTCTGATCGCAGATATTAGAGGAAAAACAATGCTAAATGCAAATAATAAATGCATATAATCATATAGAGTCAAATTAGGTGATGTCAGTAATTGCAATGCAATTTATATTTATTTTACATATTGTTTATAAAATTAGAAATAAATCATTTGAAAATAAATGATTAGGCCTAT